TTTGTTGGGCAGATTAGAGGCATACTATATTTGATAAATTTAAAAATGAAATGTTTTTGTTCTCACTGAAATGGTCATAGTATCCTATCCTATATATTTCTTTTAATTGACTGATTCTATACCACAGGTACAGTACTGGACATAAGCTAAAAACTAGGCTGTTCATGTTGAACACCCTCGACTGAAGCTTCAAATCAAGAGAGGTTTTGCCAGCAAATTCATTGGAAAATTACTACCATTTGAACACCAGGAATAATTTTAAAGCAGTTATTTTTCTCTATACAATACCGTTAGAAACTAATGTTTGCATCAGGTGGCCCATTCTTGGTCAAGCTAAAAATGCATGGTTATGGTCCAGACCAGGAGAACGCGCTGTATATTCTGAAATAACTATGTAGATTTCCATGGCATCAAGAGGTAATTTATAAAACATTGTGCAGAAATAGATTGGCCTTTGAAAAGATTGTAGACTGTGTCCCTGTTTCTGAAAAGCACATGCCCTGTACATCAGGGAGGATGCAGCTTTTAGCATCTCCCCTTTTCAACATTTTTTAAATTATTGCCAATGTTTCTGCACAGGGCTGACAACAAACTAGCCCATGAACATTTTTCAGGTAACCAGGATGTGCTCAGACTCATGTCATCTAAAACATGCCATCTATATTCTGAGGTCATGACATTTTCATTCCAATTAATGTGTTATCATCTTATCAACATACTAAGTAAGGCAGCAACTTCCAGACACTTGTTTTAATTTTTTAAAAAATGGTTAATCTCCAGTTGGGCCTTGCACTGCTGTGGTTTCATTTATGAACAACAGCATGAGTTAGTAAACAGGAATTCCTCTTTTCCTAATGCAAATGAAGTCAAATTAACATATGAAATTATTTTATACTGAGTCAAATCACTGGCCCATGTACCTGAACACTATTTATACAAACTGATAGCCAGGCTCAATAATTGTATTATTTATTTATTTGAATTGATAAGCTGCCCAGCTCCAATGGACTCCAATTTTTTTTCCCTAAAACTTCCCAGGGTTAAAAATTGAACTGCTTGCATGTAACACATGCAAATATATTTCTTGAAATATAGTTCCTCAATGTTCTGTGATATTGTTGCTTTCTGGACCCCCAGGGAAACATGTTGGCTGCAGGGCTATTACAGTCACATTATGATTACTGGAACAGTGGCATTTACCTCCTGTAAAGTTTGAAGTAACATCTAATCTGGTCTGCCTCCCACTAACATATCACTGGGACAGATGGAAAATGGCTTTTAATTGATATTTTGTTTCATAATCTTTTTATTGCTTTGTTTTCTTTTGTAATAGTTTTGAATGCTCTTTCTGAATATTCTACCAAGTTTAAAATAGTGCAAGAATATAATTAAATATACAATAGCTGATATTGGAGACAATCACAAAAATAAAGTCAGATTGAAAATAAAATATGCTAGTTTCTTCCACTATGTTGTTTATTTATTTTTTTTAAAAAACCCTACTCTCATTAATTATTCATTTCAGTGTGCAACAGATTTTTATTCCCCAGCTACTAATGCCTGCAGAAGCTAATTTTCCAGCTCATGTTTATGAAATTCCGTTATGCCAAGAACAAGAGGTAGTTCTTCAGAACATAACTTGGAGAAGAAATAAATCCCAGAACAAATGCAAAATAGCAGTTTCCCACTGAATCATCTGGCAAAGGTGCCCCCAGCACTGAATTTAGGCTGGTAAGCTTGTGAAAAGTACTTAACGCTTCAAGCTATATGGGGATCAATGAAGACCCCTAAAGGCACACACAACGTGCTGACAATCGCCTGCCCCATGGATTTTAAGGGATTTCACACCTGTCCCCTTATGTCATTGGAACCTTTTGGGAGAAAATCCCAGCAAACTGTGGTATCTAACATAAATGAAAAAGGGGTTAATAGATTTTTAAATCTATTTTCCATTCCAACCAATGGTAATTTGTTTAATTGTGCTTCTGCTTGGCGGCTCAATGATTGACAGTCATCCGATAGCAGCAAAGAATTGGCCATGCTATTTGCCCCATGGAAGAGAAAGTTCAGCAAAATGATTTCAGGCTCCAGTTCAGCCAATCTCAAACATACTTAACTGTCAACTATCTCCACGAAGTGATCTAAACATGTTTTTAAACTTTTTCACTAAAAATAGAGGAAAGTGCTGAACTTTGGCTGGAATACACCCCATTTTATATATTTAATATAAATATAAAATGAATTATTTTGAGAAATCTTTTTAAACTTACAACAAAATTTCGCCACTTTAGTTTCCTCTTTTTACATTTTCCCCCCAAGCAAGATGAAATCTGTATATCTACAAACACAGATTTTAAACACAAGAGTTACCTGAGACCCTGTAATGTGAAGACAAATAGACAAAAGGAAGGACATGGAATTAAGAACAGTCCCCTGAAAGAAGTACAATTAGTTCAGCTCTTACAAACACAAGGAGTGGAGAAGAAGCAAGCAAGCTACTCTAGAATTCACCACCTCTACACTGGTTGCTAAGATATTTTATAGGGACATATAACAGCACTAGGACATGCTACATGAACACTGATTACTTTTTAAAACCTCAGAGATGCATGTATAAGGTACAAGAGGATGCTACAGGTTACAATTGTGCCAATTATATTAAAGACATGTTTATCTCCCTCACGTCAACTGCATCTACAATGAACTGGTTTATTTCTGTAGAGTTCATTGAAGTTATTCTGACAAAGCTCTCATTTCAAACTACTCAATAGATTAAAATTATTTTAAAATCAATACTTGTACAGCACTGTGTATACTGTAGGAAAATTCTATGGGCTATATTGTGTGCAGAAATGCAATGCAGAGTTATCTATGGAAGGAGTGCCATTAAGCTAAATTCTTGCTCTTTCTTAAATGAGATCGTCCCTCTACCACTGCAACTTGTACTGGTGGGTTATGATCTGAATTTGGAATGATCCATGGTAGGAGTAGATGAATGAAAATAAGGTATGCACACCTCAAAAGAGTTGTTTTGAGGAAGAATGTGTCTTTGTGAAGTTATGTAGTATATATCGTCATAACAACAACAACTATTACTACTACTACATTTATATAGACTGGGGTCAGGGTTGAGCTATTTCCCTCACCCTGTTGGCTGAAAGAGAAGAATACATCAAAAGGCTGTATAAATAACTTTGTAAGAAAAGAGCAGGGGCTAATCACACCGCTGAATTACAGAGCTAAATGCTAGTAACTGTTTTGTATGTGGAAGCCAAGATATACATACTGCTATAACAATAGAAAGTTAGGCACAAATTATATGATGGCTTCTTCAGAAGTAAAAGTTATAACTCAAAAAGTGAAGAAAGGAACAGAAACCAATCTGGGACAATCTTGACATTAGGACTTCTTCAGTTTGCCAAGAAAATCAAGATACAAAAAATACTCAGAAGTGAAGCATTTTTTAGGAAGAAAAGGATGGGGAATGCTGAATGCTTGAAATTAATTAATTAGTGCAGGGGTGCCCATCTGCCTCAGCTTGATATTCTTTTTTATCAGAGTTCAGAAGAGAGATACAGCTTTGTCTTGCATGATGCAACTCAGTATTTTTTTTCTTTTCTTTTTCTTTTTTTTACTATATACATCTTTTTAAAAATCCTGAAAGGCTCATTAATCTTTCTCCAAATCTATGCCAAGCATCATACTATATTAGTGCATTATATTAAAAGGCTGTCTCCTTGCATGTTTTAAAAAGCAGCTCAGCGACAGCGACAGTAACTTGCAGCCACTGAATGGAAGACATATTGGCAGAATCAGTGGGCCACATTCAACTCCTAGGGCACAATATTGAAGGACTCAGTTCAAACTCAAGTGAAGCCCTTCTGCATTTATATAGCGAGGTAGGAATCTAGTCTCAGCTGTTGTGTACTGTTCTCAGCTGCATCCTCTTCTTCATTTCATGCACCCACACATACGTGTGACAGGCATAGTGACTTAGAATAAGCTCAGAAAGAGCATTTATTTTGAGCTATAATATTTTAAGTTTCTTCAATAAGCAGATTTTTTACAGTGGGAAACACTGGCCTGAGACACCAAGCTTCAGAACTGGCCAGGCTCAGTGGCAATAGGCCACCGGCCTGACATTTCTACTATTGCCTATAAACAGTTGCCATCACACATATCATTAAAATATAGGAATGATGGTATCTTGGGGAAAACAGGTACAAAAACAGATTTGTCCAGAATGCAGCCCAACTACTTGGTTGTAAGCTTTAGACAGTTTTGCATATACAGCAATCTGGTTAAATGATTCCTAGGCCTAATTTAATGTCCTTTAAAATCAGTAAGCACAGAACTGAAAAGCCCAGTCAGGGAAAGCAGATCGGCTTAACCCATTATCTTTGCTTTGCACTTGCTGGCTTTTGCATATCATAAAAGAAGCAAAAAATACTTTTGTGCTAGGTTGGTTGGTTGTTTTTTTAAGAACCCCAAGAAGAAGACAACCACAGGAGTACAACCTCCATCCAGTTAACCACCCAGTGCTGAACAAAGTTGCCAATCCACTAGTCTGTCAGTAACACTGAAGCAGAGGCAGTGTTCTCTGGGTGTCCATATGGTGTCAGCAATTGCATTATTGTATTCTACCCATGTGGCTGCAACAAACAAACCAAATTATGTAAATTAGCCCTAAGAGCAAAATTGGCCCAGCATTCACAAAACAATTTATCCTGCTGCAACATCTGTTACTGTTCTACAGTGAAGTATTCCTTCCTGGCACCAATGGGTATGAAGAACAAAATCCAGTACTTAAAGTGGTCTATCTAGTTTTTACTGTGAGCATGCAACAATAAATCTTACTTCCTAAAGAACCACTTTCAGAGAAAGAAAGAAAGAAAGAAAGAAAGAAAGAAAGAAAGAAAGAAAGAAAGAAAGAAAGAAAGAAAGAAAGAAAGAAAGAAAGAAAGAAAAGCTGTACAACATAGCCACAAGTAGGAGAATTCCTAGCATTGCATCTCCAATTCAAAATCTTTTGGTGGCAGTTTAAGTCCAAGGGAAGACGTTCCCAGTGGGTCTATCATATTCTGATAACGTTCACCACGATGTTTAGCCAAAAATGGCCCCCAGTCTGGCTGTGGAGAGCAGACCAACTTGAGCCTCTAGAAGGGAGGGGAAAATCAGTTATAAATATAGATAAGGATCAGTTGACATTACTGATGTTAGTCTAGACAACACTATTAAAATATCTGCTGTACAGAGTTTGTTTAGCTCAAGATCAATAAATAAAAACTCCATTTACTTATGCAGCCTTCACCATCATCAATTATCTCTCCATCACAGTCACTAGTGACCAAGCTCAGGCGCCAGTGCAAATGGGCTCATTGTTTAACCAAATTATTTTGATGCAGTAGGTTCCTGCATCAAAATAATATGACTTTCGCTTAGCAAATTTCTCAAAAGTATAGCGATAACCAAGAATGTAACAAACAGCAGGAAGTAAAAAAATATTTTAATTATCATACTACAATTTTATTTCTATCTGCAGGCAGGAAACTGGGGGATATTTCTGCAGAGTTGGAGGCAATGAAAATCATGTTCATCTTGTTACTGAATTCTGTGTTCAAGATATAATTTGGTACATATTATACAGGAAAAAAAAGAAAAAACATATTTATGACAGTATTAAAGGGAACAATTATATGTTTACTACCTATTAAAGGCAATTGAGTCTCCATACCAATTATTTTAATTCTTGCTTAATTACCATTTTGCAACTTACGCCTCCCCAATCAATTGTAATAAACTGAGGAGCTCAGGAAATATTCTGCTGAAAATGAAATATGAACAAATCGTTTCAGATGCAGTCAGGGGAATTTTGCCTTATCTTAAACCTCAGTGGAGGCCTATTCCTCCAATAAAAAAAAATAATAAAGTACTTTTAAGAGTAGAATGCTATTATAAATCAACTCTGGAAGTTGCTGTAGTATCATTCTTATCTTTGTTGGTGGGGTAATGTGAGAAGCCCTAAGCAAAATGCACATACTGTGGTGCTTCCCCATAATTCAGCTATTATAGTATATTCCTCACATTGGAACTATCTGCAGTATGGAATTTTCTGGACATTTCCAAGTATTTCTTAGAGGTATGCTTTGCACTCATCTGATCCCAATGGTCATCCTTCAGATGCTCTTCGCTCATCCTATGGTAACCGTGATCAATAATAACCACACCATAAAACTTTCTAAACATGATTTCTTAAAAGCATGACAGACCAATCCTAGGCTAAATTCTGAAAAAAAGAAAGAGAAGGTATAAGAGTTACCTCGATAAAGTTCCCAGGAGCTAGGTGCATTTTTATCACAAACATAACAGGAATCCAAATAACAGAACAAGCCAACATCAACCATCCTAACACCATTGACCAGCCTGGATAATGATAGGTGCCATAAGTCATTGGCTCCCACTGATAGAAGCTGAAGCAAAGGATGAACTAAAAAAGAAACACATGTGAAAACCATCATATTACAAAAAGAACACACACAATTTCTGTGAAATTATAAACAAACATATGTATAGATATATTAATACATAACAATAAATGACTATATATGATCAGATTTAAGGCTATATTGCATACTATAAACATTATATAACTCAATGGAAATATATATATATAGAGAGAGAGAGAGAGAGAGAGAGAGAGAGAGAGAGTAGAGAACGATAATATACTACTACGAACAAAACGAAAAAAAA